TCCCCCCCCCCCCCCCCATATGGTTTTCTTGCAATTTTGGTGGCCCCGCAAAGTCCACCGATGGTATTTGTTGTTTTGAGCGTATTCCTCGTTCTATGTCGCCCACAGCAAATTATTCCAACCCTACCACTTTGTCGCCTCTGTCCAAGCGCTCTGGTTGGGTCACCCAGAAGGTTACTTTGTGATTCGTTTTGTCACATGTGCGGCGAAAAGCGTTCAGCAATGCATACCGATGTCGGGGCGGTATACTGGCATAATGCGCCCCTGTTGTATTTTGGTGTGGTGTCTAAATACTTGTTGTATTTTGGTTTCCCGGCATGTTCTTTTAGGAGCGGCGCCCCCTCGTGGCATCGCACCTCGCTCGCTTCCAGAGCGACGACTCGTTGCTGGGGGAATGCGACCCCTGGGCGGAGATGGAGTTCTTCACACCACGAGGGCCGGGGAGGGCGGCCTATCGTCCGGACGGGCCTCTCCCGAAGGAGTTTCCAAGGGTGAGTGACGTCAGAAGTGACGTCACGCCAAAGATGTCGGCGTCGTTTTTTTCTGTAGCACCGCTTCGTGATATGGTAGGATTGATTAAAGCTCTCAACTAGTTTTGAAGTGGCTGGTACCAAGGTAGCAACGACCTGAGGCAAAGGGTCCGTTTTGTTGTTCTTTGTAGCCATCCTATTATCCATGCCTGGGCCACATTTTGCTTTGGGGGGTTACGGGAAAACAAACGGCGTTGATTGGGTGCACGTGACGACTTAACGAAAGTCACTCCATCAGTTTCACGTACATTGCGTAACTTGACGTAAATATGATTTCGCGTTCCTGATGCTGGGTGACTCGACTCGACTCGCCTATGGGTGCCCTGTGTTCCGTCCCAAAGCTCTAAGTGTTTGACGTAATGTTCTGTTGCGGACCTCTTTCGCCAACAACAAAAGTGAATAAATAATGGATAACCCCCTGCCTCCAGACGGCCACCTTCTACCCCCCCCCCCTCCCCCGGCTTTTGCTTCATTTTTCTGGCCTCACCCCCCGTCAGATAGCACAACAAGATCCTTGTGTGTATACGGTTTTCACCTGATCACCACTTAAAGGATAACGCGTGAGCGTCGCTGGAAGTCAGCGCCCGTCGGTGACTCTACCCTAGCCGTGGAGGCTTGATCGCCGTGTCGGTGTTGTGAATCGCCAATATTGTCTCTTTGTCGTAGCATCATTTGTGGTTCCAGTTTTGTATGACGTGCCCACGGCTTGCAACACGTTTGTTGTTACGAAGGGCAGCTTTTCATTCCGCGCTCACCGGACGCGGTTTTTCCTCGGTCGTCGTGGCTTTTCTTTTCTCGCTTTGCGCGAGTATTGAGAGCCCTTGTTCCCTACCCATAGTCTTCCACTGCTGTTGAAATAACTTTTCCGAAGGCGGCGGAAGCGGCCGAGCGGCTGTGGGCTCTGATGAATGAAGGGACAGCGTACGACCAGGCCCTCAGGCACCTCTGTTTCCAGGTACGTGACGGCACGGGACGGTATGATACGATACCACAGGTTTTCGGTGTGCCATACATGCCTATTGTTGCGTTTGGTGTGGCAGGATGTCGGTGTGGTACAGAGTGGTATGGGATGAGAGTACGTGGCATCGTATCGGCTTCAAATGTGTATTCGGAAAGCTTAATACGCGGCAAACCAAATGACTGCAACGCTTCCACCGGCGCCAATATGACTTTGGTCGTTTGGCGCAGGCACCCCCCCCAGTGTTTCGGACGAGGCCTGCCTCAGAAACGTGTCGTTAGTGGCGCTGTTGTTGTTTCCTCAAACATGGAACCTGCCATAACGCCCGGAGCGAACACCCCCCGAGAGCGAACGCCTCCGGGGGTCTCGTTTACATTTTGGTCTTGAGAAAACGTCCCGGGTATGTAGCGAACGGCCTGGGGTCGTTCGTTTTCGGGTTGTTGCAAGGAAACGCTCCCCGGGGACGGGCAGAAATGTACAAGCGTAGGTGGGCTGCTCGAGGAGCGAAATGAGCGTGCGGCTCGATCGCTGCGCGAAACTGAGGGATGCGCAAATTGTCCCACGTGCTGCGCTGCTCGCCTGCAGTACTTCGTCTTCAAGGGCTGTCGGTATTTCGGTAGCTTACGACGTGGCTGTTCTGTGTGCTGGTCAACAGCTGTGTGTGGTGTGCCGCCCGGAGCAGGTTGGTTGCTCGTCACACGCTTGGGCGTCGTGTCAAGTTTGTACATTGACCCGGGTACGGAGCGTCCCTCGGGGCGCCTGCGGCCAAAAGCTGTGTTAACGATCGCCCCCGGGGGTGTGCACTACAGGCTTTACGGCAGCATCACGCATTGTGTGGTGCTTAGGGGAGGCCTCGTCTTGGCGAGTTACAGATCTCGAGTGTAGACAAATAAATGGCTGCATTTGTAGAGGGTCTTCTTGAATTGCCTCCATGTTCTCCCGAGCATTTGGAAATCTAACATCGAACGTAGTTGCACGCGTCCCCTCCCCCAAACTTGGCACGCCCGTATATAGGGTTCTTAAGAATTATGTCTGTGCCTCGCGAGCTACATTGATTGTGGCATTCCTCGCGTCCAACCCTATTGCGAAGAGCGTATTCCACATTCAAAAATTTGGAACGTAGCGCCGTTTCAGTCCACGAAGCGCGGCATTGGTCACCGTGTACAAGGTATCCTGCGTTGTTTAGTGAGAGTGTTGGTAAATACTGCCCATGCACGACGTCGTTGGCCCTCGGCTTGTCCGGCACGTGCGCGTTTTGGGAAGCATGATGTGGAACAATGTCATAGGTCTTCCCACGGGCCCGTGCCCGCGTTGTCTTTCTTGCGTTGGCCTCTCAACAGCTCACACAGCTGACGTGTTTTCTCTCGGAGAGCCCAGCCAACCCCCACAAATCAAAACGAAAATTATTCATGTTTACAAGGGCAGCGGACGCGGGGGACGGTAGCCCCCCGCGTCCTCCGCTTGAGTGTGGATGTGCACACAAAACGATGAGTGTGAGCTAGCAGTTGTAGGCTTCAAACGCAGTGCCAAGTGGGACGGACGATGGTTGAGGTTGCGTACGTTCAGCAGAAAAACAGAAAGGTGCAGCTTCGAACTCGGAAGAAAGTGCTGACGACCTGTCGTTGTATGTTGCCCTATGAAATTTCTGCAAAGCTATTGTACACAACGGGTAGACGTAAGTATTTGCTTGTTTAGCTAGACATCTTCCGAGTTCCGAGTTGTGCTATAACTTCACGTTCCCTAAAAAACACCGATCGCAAGCATCGTCCCATCACAGCAGCGGTTATTGACAGTTTCGCCCGAAGAAGCCAGAGGTGTAGATGCAGGTGCAACCATGTGGTTTGGAGCGGTTTCAACGGCTCGGGCAGCCCATCCGGCACTCTGCGCCCGGAGGCCTTGGCGGGCGGCGTCTTGGGGAGAGGGGACGCCGCGCGGGCGCCGCGGAGAGCGAGCCAGCCGCGCTCGTGGCAATATCGTGTCGATTTGAGAGTAGACCTATTTCCGCCACTTCGCTGTGAGCGACCGCTGCGAAGCGGCAGGGCGCTAGTTGAGCCTGAGCTAACATTCCCTTCGTCTATGCGTAATCGTTTGAGTCTTATACTTCAAGTAGTGTTTTATGTCACACTTGCATGCGTTTGAATTGAACGTTGCCCAAGTGGCACGCTGTTCGACTGCCTTACCCCAATCGTACAATATGCTACTTTGTCGCATGTGTTCAGCTCTTCCTGTCCAACTGTTCTTGGCGAAACGCTTGATGCTCATTCGCAGCTTGTGGGCAACGTGTGGATTGTGGTTCCGTGAACTATTCTGTACAGATAACACCCCGCGTTGCCCTTTTTTGGCTTGTGCTTTGTGTTTGCCCTTGCGTGTTTGTTGTAGCTCTGGCGAAATATCTGGGGCCTTGAAACACCTCCCTGCCTGGTAAACAACATTCCGGAGAAGGTTGAAGGCTGGAGGGAGAAGATGATTGTTGGAGAGTCTAAGAACCTCTCCAAAGATCACCGTGCGCGGAGTCGACTGGCTATGGACGGCATGGTTGATAAGGTGAGATTTGCTTTTCGGCCGTCTTGCCCTGGCGTGTCTTTTGTGGGGTGGGATGGCCCCCGTCGCCAATTCCTCCTGTCGTGGGTTGTTCGATGACGATGACACAGTTAATTGTTTTTCAACTTTTCTTCTCATTGAGCATGTCACCGCGTGACTCTCCGTTTCATATGCGGACATTCGTTCACGTGGTGACAGGCAAGGTCTGTTTGGACAATGCAATACGCCATGCTTTCGGGTGCACCGAAGGCTTTCGCCAGAGACAATCGTTAAGCGGAATTCCGTTTTCTCGGGCACGTCTGTTTCATGATGTCAAGCGAAGAATCTTGTTCCCGCTCCCCACCACTTTCCTTGTTTGGGAAAATAGATATTGCAAGGGTGCGTTCGGTAGGGTGCGGGTACGATCGGTAAGGTATTGAAATATTACCGAAGCGTGCCAAGATGTTAGGTAAGGTATGGGCATCTTACCGAAGCGTATCGAGATTTTGGGTAAGGTATTGAAATACCATTACCGAAGTCGGTACCGGCACCCTCGATAGTTCAAGGGTATGCCGAGAATTTCGGTAAGGTATTGAAATATTACCGAAGCATACCGCGATTTTTGGTACGGTATTGAAATATTACCGAAGCATACCGCGATTTTCGGTACGGTATTGAAATATTACCGAAGCATACCGAGATTTTCGATAAGGTATCAAAATATGAACGAAGCATACCGAGATGCTCGGTAGGGTACATACCGCCTGCATTTACCGCCAGTATGCCTCGATCGTACCGAACACATGCTTGAAACCATCGACGGCTGTGATGGTGTCGAGTGGCACGTTGCATACCTGCTCGAGCGTGCTGTAGACGATCGCTGGTGTAATCGTAGGCACGCTGTTCCCCTGTGAGATCTCCACAACCTCTGGCGTTGGGACTTGCGAGGAGGAACTGCCGCCAGAACCGGGGTCGGCACGCTGGCAACCCCCTCATGCTGAGAGGTCGGCTCGCTGCTCATGAGGGCTCGGTGTATCTTTCACGTGTACCCGGACAGGCACAGTCTTGTGATGTTCGGTAGGGTGAAGCAGTTGTGCGTTCGGAATTCGGTACAACAGGCACAGCAGTTTGCAATCAATATATGTGGTAAGTGAAAAGAGTGGCGTCACAATGTGTCGGTAGGGGTATGGAGGTCTCCGCCGGTACCGGCACCTCGGTATTTGTCAAGAGTGTACCGGCACCCTCGCTACCATATTTGTCAAGGGTACACCGAGAATTTCGGTAAGGTATTGAAATATTACCTAAGCATACCGGGATTTTCGGTAAGGCACAGTCGTCGCCGCTTTAAAGACACCATTTTTGAAGTCACTCCCCGCTTTGGGGACACAAAAAATCTCAGAAACATGGTACCCCGCAGATGTGAAAAAGTAGGGGGGGTAGGGTTTTCCATCATTCGACCCCCCCCAGAAAATGTGCTGCAGCCCCTGTAGATCTTGGATCATCAACAGCGGTTTGCTGCAGCGGCACACTGCGTGTGGGTGTATGGAACGATTCATTCCATCTGCTAGCGTACCTTCAAGTACCTCAGCGAAACGGCGTACCTTCTTTCGAAGACTGTGCATTCGTTTACTAATGAGTCTCAGGTCAAGCGAAGAGCACAGAAGGGGGCGGAGGTGCAGGCGACTCTTCGGGATATGCGGCGGGTGTAGTTTTGGTTTCGAGAGCAAAGCACTTTAATTGCAAACGTTCGTTGTTTGCCTTGGGTGAAGTCTCAAGAGGTTGAATTTGGCGTTTGTGTTGTGTTGTGCCTCGTTTTGACCTTTTGGGAGGCGCGGTGTCCTCTTTGTCCCTGTGCTTTCCCGACGTTTTTGGTCTCTGTGTTTATGCGTAACCTACATTTTCCCAGTGTCGTTTCACAACCTTCGATATTTCTCAGGTGCGGTAGCGAGATCTTGGACAAGATATTCCCCGGGAGGACAGCCTAAAAAATAAAGTAAAGCAAATAATGAAGCCCATATCAACACCAGCGCACTACCGTCGTGTACATGTACGATGCGTAGGTCGTAGAACATCATCGCTTTCAGCGTTTTGGTGGTACAGTACGGGGAAATTCAAACGATGGTATGCAAGTATCTATTGCAGCACAAAAGCAGCAGTGGTTGCGACCTTCAAATCACCTTGTGTCGTAGGTTTCAAACAACACCTCTTGTGGTCGCCTTTCTGCTGCAAATGCGCACCTTTTGACATGTGTTTCGCCTTTATTGGCCCCGGGGATGGTGCGTTAGTGGCCCCGGAATTGTAAAGACACTTCCCCGCGTGAAAGACACTTTTTTTTGGGGAACACGTGGTGTGTCTTTAAAGCGGGGTCGACTGTAAGCCAGCGAAGGCAAAGTCTACCCGAACTCCCGAACTCCGGCGATGCCAACATTAACATTATAACGTGAAGGATCCCGTCGTTTGGGGCCTGTTGTACAGGTAAAAGGGTGGGTGATGGGCCGGAACAAACGAAGGGAGTGGATTAACCGCGATTGGTGCGAATGGTACTACAGGGATCGAGATCGGCAGGTATGACCCCAACGGTAGCAGAAATCGACTTGAGGAACGTTGTGGTTTTGTTTATCTTGCGTAGGTTGCTCGTTCTGACTCGATCGAATATCTACACTCTAATGGGTTGGTTCGAATATTGTTGCTTGTCTCGTGTTGCGAATTCTTGACACACTGCTGGGCCCACAAGTTTTTCACTCACATGGATACCCAGAGCGTTCGAATTTCGTCCAGTTTGATTCGATGAAGGCCTAAATGCGGCGGGTCGGAGGCATTAGGCATGCGGCATTGCCCCTGGAAGTTGATGCCAAAGCACTGGCGGTATTTTCCGCAGGACATGGCAAGATATACACGCCTGACGTCCCTTGCGCGACCTTGACATTGAGGCTGCAAAGTGCCAGCGAAACAGCAGATATTATTCTTTTGCAAGTCCTCATCGTCACAGAAATATATGTTTTTGCTGCAGTACATGCCCAGGGCACCCTGTAGCGCGGGCCTAAACGGCCTGATACGCCTTTGCAAGCTTCATTCGAAGCGTTGATTTAGTCTTACCTTCCTGAGCCACATACTGCTCAGCCAAGAGGCACTGCCGGGTTGCGCATGTACGTGTGCGGGGGGCTTCTTCTAAGTCGGCAACGGCACGTGCGCATCCGGCACAGGCAAGGCTAGCCCTCAAGGTCAAGCGGAAAGGAGACGAGGAAGAAGAAGATATCACCGCCAACCCTTGGGACGGCCGTTATGGACCGGAACCTCCGGAAGAGATGGTGGGGCCGCAGGGACTGGGGGTGGGGGTGCACTCGGTTCAAGGAGTAGTTCAGTGGGAGGATGGCGGGAGCGAAGCAGCGGCGGTAGGCGGTGCAGGCCTAAAAAAGTTTCGGACGGTTGGTGGGGGCGGTGGGAGTTAGGGGTTCTCGGTGGTTTGTATGCGTTGGTGCAGATACTCTCCGTCACTGACAATGACCCTTACCCTGAGGCATTGGTGCTGTTTTTGGAATGCAACTCGATCGTTCATGGTGTTGTGATTGCTTCACAAGCAATAGCGAGATGATGGGTGGTCTGACCCAGTACGACAGGTTTGGCTGCTTGCGCACGCTCGTCTGGCTTGCGATGACATGTTGTGGCAAATGTGAAACCCCTGCCTAACGGTTGATGTTGTTGGACCGTGTTTGCATCGATACGGCTGCATGTTCATCTAGGAAAGGGGCCGAGAGCCCGCCCACCGCCACGTAGTGTGTTCGTATATGTCCTTTACTTGGAAGGGGAAGACGTTTTATCTCTCGTATTAGACACGCAAGGGGAGTAGGGAGAAGTGAAGCCCTCTTGGCTCAGCGACCATGGGTAGGGCAACCCGGGAACGAGCTATATTTAATTCGCGCGAAGCGCGAAAAAAATACGAAGAGGCGTGTTCGAATTACGCGTCCTTTCGTTGTCTTCAAGTTTGACAGAAGGAATCCATGTGTGGTTATTCAGTGCCAGAGGTTGCGGGTTCAATCCCCCGTAGCGCCAACCTTTGTTTGCACCTTCTTTTTTTCCCGATTTTTCTTCACGATGGGAGGGCCATCACCACCTATTGACGGTAAATAAGCGATTAAACCACCGTTTACGCGAGGGAAACTGGAGTTTGTTGCTGTACACGCCTGCAAAATTGCAGTCTGCGCGAAACATGGCAGCTTTTCTCTGTCTCGCATGTGCAGCTTCAGAACAACATCTGTTATTTTCTACAGGAAAAGAGTATTCTTCGTGCTCGCCATCAGAACGTGACGTCTTCTTGAAACTATCAGTCATAATCTCAGCAAAAAAGCCCGGGACGAAAACAAACGCAGAGAAAAAGAGCGACGAGGAGAACCGATCGNAGGACACAGCTCTCTCACCGCAGCACACACACGTACAACCCACAGCACACGCACAGCACCACAGAGGATTTACCATGGGTCGCAGGAAAGGATCAACGCCTGCGGCTGGAGCAAAAAAGCCCGGGACGAAATCAAACGCAGAGAAAAAGAGCGACGACGAGAACCAATCACGGCAGGCAGCAGCTTTCCGTACGGTCATGGGGTGGGCAGACACAACAACACGGAAGCGTCAGCGAGTCAGTTGCGAAGGTGCTACGAACGAAGACAACATGGGGAAAGACGAGGAAAGCAGCCGTGCTTTCGTCGCTTCTCCTCGTCGCATTTTTTCTCTGCGTTTGATTTCGTCCCGGGCTTTATTGCTCCAGCCGCAGGCGTTGATCCTTTCCTGCGACCCATGGTACATCCTTTGTGGTGCTGTGCGTGTGCTGTGGGTTGTACGTGTGTGTGCTGCGGTGAGAGAGCTGTGTCCTTTCTCTTTGCGCAGACAAAGCGCAGAGTCCTGCCGCGTGCAGCGCTGCGCGCGCCTGTCCCGCCGGCGCTCCCGCGTCATTACAACTCATCCCGTACTAATCCCAAGTTGTTGTTGTCGTTGTCTTCACATTAAAAACCATCCCGGTCTCTCTATCCAGTACCTCCTTCTGTCTCAATCTCTCCGTAGTAATCCAGCACTTGACTCGGTCAATTTCCGTGGTCACAGGCTAACGTACCTAGAAAAGGTATACCAAAATAAAATGGACCCCAAGGGTTAGCAGAGCGATAAAATACAAGAAAACAAAAGAATCAGAAACAAATAAATAAATATATAGTGGAACGTGCGCACCACCAGCCTGGGAGGCAGCCTTCCGGAAGGACCTCAAGGGTCAGCAGTACGTGCCAGTAAAACAACAAAACAAAATGAAACGAAATAAACCAAAGACAGACGAGGACATAAACAAACTCGCACAGAGACAGGGATATCCGTAGAGACAGTCTGAACGCGACAGCAAACGGGGGAGAGGGCAACAGAAAAACTAGTCGCTGAAATTCAACCGCAACATGTCACGTCACGCGGTCGGTCTCTTCTCGCTTGCTTTCTTCCCGCGCCGTTTCCTCCCGCCCCCCTCCCGCCCCGTTGATTGGTGCCGTATCTAGACTATTTTTGGGCCCG